GTGAATACAAACTTCGATAAAAAACGATTGATCTAAATATAAGAATTACATTACACTTTACTAGATAGCTAATTTTAATACAAACATGCGCGACCGCATCCCTTCTAGCTGCTTGACAAAAATAGTGCGCTTGAAAGAAGCTGATGCAAACTGCCTGCCTCCCATATACGTAATTGTTGTGGATGCGCGCATAGTCTTTAAAACATGCAGCAAATGCAGGCATTATATATGGTAAATATCCAGAAAATAAGTGGGCGGACTCCGTGGTTTCGTACCCTTTTCGTGACTTCCACGACTCTACCGCTCCCCTCAATCAGTTTGAAAAATCGCATCCATGCCGGCAGCATCGGCATTTTACTGTGCAAACTTTTACAGCCAAAGGAGACATTTCGCCAAGCCAGATAAATCATCACCCAATGCGTCAGTCGCCTAAGTGCAGTCAGCTGAATGGCCGGGAGTCTCAGACGCCGCAGGCCGTCTTTCATCGGGCGGAGGAGCGCGAGCGGCGCGTCCGACTTCTCCAATTAGCATTACGTCGTGATTTAGCGGCTCGTGAGGGGCCGGCGCGGCGGCGGCGGCGGACGTGAACGGACCGTGAACGGCCGCTGATTTGCCTGCGTCACGAGCGCGGCGCCGGCACGAGGCGGCCTGAGGAAAATCGCGCCGTTGGGCTTCGGCGGGCACCGCAGACGTCCGGCCAACGCCTCTCTCATCGCTCAGATGTGCCATGGTTTCACAGGTTAATCATCATTCTTGCGCCTGGCCGCTGTGTTTCGCTTACTATGTTGACTATATGGTTTAAGCTATCTTAGGCGATGGGTTTGGGAATGAATTGATTTGCTTTCGTATACATCATACATCTTCCATGGACTTCTTCACGGTCACTGGTTACTGACCTAAAACGATCTAGGTTAACATTTTGTTTTAAGAACACACTGCCAAGCGTGATTTTTGATGTTTATTCAAATGCAAAAATCAAAGCAGTCTTGTATGATTTTACTCACCATGACCTTCGAAATGTCACTCAAGGTCACTGACTTAAATGGGCACCGGTGATCCTTGGATGAGAAGAAGTGTCTAGGCTCAGGATGGTTGCATGGAATGTCTGAGCGCGTTTTGAACACTAATTTGGAGTCTGACCCTGTTTGACTTTATTTTACCCGAAAGTCGTTATCTAGGAACCTTAAATTTTGACACAATTGAGTTCGCGTGCAGGATAATACATCCTGTGAAGTTGGTGCCTCTACCTCTTTTAGTCTTCGAGATCTTAGGCGGTCAAATTGACCCCCAACCGAGCGAATGGTACTCTAACGGCCAAACGGGCGCGTGTTAAAGCCCAATGTCGTTTACTATCGCTAATGAGAAGCGGCACAAACGTTTTCGTTTCGCATTTCTGGCTCAATTGGGGGTCAGACAGACGTTACATATTTGGGACGTTACTGTAACATCGCATAACCAGGAGGAAGAAAGATTTTGCCCAGTGTAACCAGTGCGTAACCAGAAGGGTCAAAAACGCTAAGAATAGCGCGACGTTATTTGTAGATGGCGACAGCGGCAAACCTCCATGTTTGTATTCATTTAATCTATTAACAACATTCAACACAAATATTTCCACAAACGATTCAATGGGCGGCTGCTTAAAGCATGAATCGGACAACCAACGCCCAGGTAAGGGTTATGAAATACCATTGAGCTTACGATGAGACTTAAAGCCATTTGTTTCTAAATAACGCCCATATAATGTATGTCGAGCTTTAAAAACATCGAGAACTCGAGTCACAAACATATCACAAGCTTTATATCAAGTGGCATGGAGGGGCACAATTTTCCGCAGATTTAGAGGATTTGATATGAGCAAGAAAGCCCTTAAGCTTCTAGTTTCCGACGTTATCAGTCGCCTTGTCCTATTCCGAAAGTATGTCAGAGTAAGTAAGATCACCCAAGGATTCAGTCAAAGCTTTTTGATTGATGGGTATCTGTGATCAGCAACCACGCCATGCAGCGCTCGTTGCGTGAGACTGGACGATGCCATCCGATCGCGAATATTAGCTTTGTCAACGGCATAATTTTGCAGCAAAAGCTTACCGTGCCGCAATGCCCGGCGCGTCCCGTCGTATCCTTCCTTCCATCGCATACAGATGAGGTGGGCTGAATTCTGACGAGCTCCTCAGGAATATTGCAAGACAGAAATCATAAATCGGAACATAAAGTTTCGGGAAAAACACTTACCTGAAAACAAAGATACATTTCCATTGAGACAGCTGTTGCCATGGTTACAAGCATCAACAAAGGAATGGCTACCAAACTCAGCCATAGAGCGGCGCAAGTGGCGCACGTGCCAAATACCGCGAAGACGAACAACCCGGATAGATGGGGCTCGATGTGGTAGGGGGCTGGTGCGTGTTCAAGGAGCTGTTGTAGTTGGTGGCAACCGTTAGATAGCCTTGGTGGCAACTAAGGTACCCGCGTTACCGTCAGCAAAAGTTTTTTTGTAGCGCATGGTAAGGCGAAGTTTTACTGAAGAAATTGTTTGTGTGGCGTGAAGGACACAGACGGAACCTAGGCATACTGTCTGCCGGACCGTGAGGTTTCTGCCTGCTGGACACATTGAATCTCCATCTGCGAAATCGATTTTGTTGGGTTACGGAGCCTATTTTTGGGGTCCTTACATTGCAGAGGAAAGCAGTATAAGACTGTTCCTGCCAGGCACAAGGGAAGATGAGTGGACCAGGTAGCCAGGTGGTTACCCCAAAAGCATCAACTGGTTCAGGGATAGATTTGGATGCTTCCCACTCCTATCAGATCAGGCCCAAGTTTGAGAACAAGTTCCGCCCTCAGGCGGTGAAGGAACAGATAAGGATAACCATGAACGAGGAACTTGGAGGGAAGACTTATGGGGAAGCAGAGGCCCAAGTTTGGATCAAGAACATATCAGACCAGCTTAGAACAAAAATGAAGGAGATGGGGTTTGAAAGGTACAAGATTGTTGTCCAAAGCGTCATCGGTGAACAGCATGGTGAAGGTGTTAAGATGGGAGTCCGGTGCTTGTGGGATTCAGACACAGACAGTTATGCTTCTGATGTGTTCATTAATGAGTCCATGTTCTGTGTTACAGCTGTCTATGGGGTGTACTACTACTAACCATTGATGGCAGGACACTGGATGTGCACCAGTTTTGCCACATTGTTTTGGCTGCCAGTCATTGCACTAAGATGAGGCCCTAAGTCTTAAAACCTTACCTGTGAATTTGTCTGGCCCATGGAAGATTTGAACTTTTCAATATGCTGTATGTGTGATTTGAAGTGTATTTAAATTGTTCTGGCTATTGGCATAGCTGTTCAGAGAGCCCTGTGCATGTTTGCATTGTTTCAAGTGCAAACGCCTGCACCGTTTGCAATATTGGCATGTGTTGTTCTTTCAGTCATTATGTGCACATCATATGATCTCATTTGTGCTGCCTACCAGCTTTTTTTATCACCTTCAATTTAATTATGGTTGATTGGATAAGCATGTAATACATGGTTGCAAATAATCTGGCAGATGTGATGAACATTGTGTTAGCGGTTGTATTGGGCAGTTTGAGGCTTTCACTTCACAACAGGCCAGCAGTACCTAATGTTACTGCTCAGGAGTGTAGTTTCCTATTCAGTTGGAGGGAGGCTTCAGCCCCCCATATTGGGCTTCAGCCCCTCCCTCAACTTTGATAGAAAAGCTGGCAAACATGGGGAAAAACTTGTATGTTGGTAAATTTTGGGGATAGGATCCATAATTGTGGTTCAGCACCTTAACTCACCTTGTGGAACTGCCAGTTACTGCTGCAGTGAGTCTGCATTACCGACATAGATCTATTGGTCTTCAGGCAGTGCTTCAGGCTGCATTATGCAGAAAAGGCTGCCAACTAGCAGCATGTCCAGAGACTAACATGAGCACATTCATTGTCATGTTAGACATGGTTGGTAGACATGATTGTCCATGTACCATTCTGGCAAGGGTGAGTGAATGCACTGGATCCCTTTAAAATGGATTGTTTCCATCCTGCAGTCAAAAGATAGCTTATGCCTTTATTTTCAGCAGTCTTATTGGAGCACTACCATCGGTCATGAAATATGTTGTTCTGGAGACTAAGACTAGCGCTGATGCTATAGCACAAACCACTACACCACAATTAATTGAAGATTGAGTTATGCATTCTTTGCAATCATAACAGTACATATCTGCAACATGGTAGTACAACTATATTTTGGTATGACAGATGCTATAAGTGAGCTGATTCCGTGATCATCTGATAGATGATTACATGGCTTCAGCGACAGAAAGTACGCGGCCGCAGCACCTCGCAATATGGAACGCTATTTGTTGCGCGTGGAGCCATTTCCAGGAAAAAATCTGCTTCCTCTGGTCCCTATCCCATGTAATCCGCATAGTTCTGGAAGTGTATCGGTTTTAATGTCAAGTGCGTGGTTCTCCAAGACGAGCCCCAGCAGGGATGGCGCCACTGTGCCAGCTCAGCGGACCGATGCCAGCATATCGACGCCATAGGGGTGGTGAATTCCAAGGTCATTGGAGACGTGCCCGGCGCTGTCCGGCGTTATCAAACGCCGCACGAGTTCGGTGCTGCATTCGCCCCGTCAAGCTTAAAAGAGATGATGTGCGTATTGACAATGCTTTCACGCGTTGATTACTCTGCGAATGGTTAACCGCAACGGAGCACACGGACTGTTGAGATGAGGCTCATCGATGTTTTACTCCCTCGCCGCCTTGTTTTGCCTGTCAATATGCTGCGCTGTTCAGTGTGATGAGCAGCCGGATGGCGCAGCGGGCGGGGCCGGCCGTTCCCAAGAGCCTCCGCAGAGCCAAGCGTCTCCGCCACGGGGTATCCCGCCAGGCAGCGCCGCCCGCTCCCGGCGAAAAGCCAGCGGTCCGTCACGCGACGGCCGCCGCTGGAGCGGACGCGTCTCTTTCACTCGGCACGCCCGCTCGTCCGGAGCACGGCGCGCCGGCGCCGTGCCGTGTCGCACACCACCGGCCCCGTAATGAGCATTGTTTATTCCTTCCTCCGACGGACCTACGGTTCACCGGGCGCCCGACACAGCGCTGGGAGACTCCGCTCGGCCGCCGGGACATCCCGGCGGCGCCGGCGCCCCGCAGGTCTCACAGACGCGGGCGCGCTCTGTCATCGCAGGCCCTCACAACTACGAGCACTCTCATACCCGCACATCACACGCGCCATGGATACGCTGAACATCGACCAACGAAGACAGATATGTCCCACGAGCGGGAACGCGACCGGGACACCGTACGAGACAATACAGTACCGCGCGTTTCACGCAATCACGCCGCGACAGCACCACGTAGAAAAGCCGACGACAGGAAGATTGATGCCGGCGAGCGGGGGCGCGTCCGGCGTCGGTCGATCCGCCACGCGGAAGCATTCGCAAAAGGCAGCGCAACGATCGAGTCAACTCCCTGCAAGGGTTCCACGCCGGGGATATGTTCGACAGCGCGTCGTCGGAGGCATTCGTCGCATGATAAATACGCAGATCTGTCCTTGAAATTCGACAGGCATAATCGTTGCCCTCTATTCGACACAACAACGTTCTAGTTTGTGAAAGATATTGTCTTCCATGCACACAACATGGTGCCAGCGCAACGAACGACAAGCCAGCTGGCGAACAGGGACGTCCGTCCCCAGATGCCGTGAATGCCATCAGCGACGGCCCGCCCGACCCCAACCCCGGCCAGTATCACAGGCGCGGCGGCGGCGGCGGCGCTCACAGCTCGGTGCCCATCCACGAGACGATCTGCAGCTTGACCTTGTGGCGGGCCTGCTTGAGCAGGCTGACGGCCTCGGCGTGCCGCACGCCCTCCAGCGTGTGGCCGTCCACGGCCAACAGCCGGTCACCGCAGCGCAGCTTCCCTGCGGGTGCCACAGACACGGCCCGTCAGGCAGACGGTGGCGCCGCCGGCGGACGGCGCCAGCACCAGGCGGCGGCGGACCGAGCGGGCAGGCATCAATTTCATAAAACACGAAGAAGCGGACTAAACCCACCAGTCAGCAACAGAACACAGCAGCTGAACAGTACCTCGCTATTTTAGACCTGGCTCGTACAGCGCGCCTGGGGCGGGACAATCACGTATCTTGTGACCTATCCAATGATGATATCTGGCAACTGACGGTTTGCCTTGCAGCATAGGTCAGAGAGCAAAGATTTCCACCAGAAAGCCATTGTGAACGCTCGCCCCAATTCAAGATCAAAGCGCTGTTCTCAATCCCGGGCGAAACGCAGCGAAACTTTAATTTGATTTCAACAATTACACGGCTTCTGCAGGCAGGAAATCTCCGGCGGCCGCTCAAAGGCGTGCGGCCGCCAAAAATACGACAGGCACAAATCCGCTGCCGCGTTACCAGCGCGGCCCGCGCCGGACCGGGCATGCAGCCTACCCCAGCGGCACGGCCGCCCCGCACCAGTCCATCACCGCCCCTTCAGCCGGCGCGGCTCGAGCTCGCTGCGGGGGCCGCTCGGTATTCGCGCGGCGCGCGCCCGCCGCTGAGTTATTTCCCACCGGCCGCCACCAACTCACCGTCAAGCGCGGCCGGCGAGTTCTGCACCACGAACAGCACGTGGATGGGATCGCGCGTGCCGCCGTCGCAGCCGCCCACGATGCTGAAGCCCAGCGAGCCGGTGGCGCTGCGCGACAGCTCGATGCCGCGCGGGTAGCACAAGCACCTGCAAACGGGCACGGCGTCGCTCAGAGAGGCAGCGCCACACGGCACTGCACGCTCACTCACTCGCAAGGCGTATTCCGTCAGCTGCTCGTTGCACCTGGGATGACTATACCTCCCTATCTATCGGAGTACATTCCGCCCCCTCCCGCCCGCCACCTGTCGACGCGCATGACATTTCGCCGCCGGCAGACTGCTGAGCCGCCGCTCGGCTCCTCCCTCGCCGGGAGTTCGCCTCCGGCCGACGGCGCCACAGCGTCCCAGGCGGCCGGCCGCCGTCTCCACCCCATCTGCCGGCAGCCAACACCTCCCCCGGGCGGGCGAGCGCCGCTCAGACGGCGCCGGCACGTGCCCGTCCCCCGGGCGCCATCCGTTCGGCACGTCGCGTCTGGCCAACGTCGCGGCAGCTATGGCACCCGTACTGGACCGGACGCCGCCGTCGGCACCGCGTCGTCGCGTACACGGCGTCCGTTTTACCGGTAAGTGCGTTCGGATGTAGCCGCCGGCTGGCCGTCCGTTCCGGCGGACAGCTCTGGGGCCGTCAGGCGCACCGGTGGCGCGTGCGAACGCCACAGAGGAAACACACCTCGGGAGCGAAACGCGCGTGCCGCCGAACACCAACCACGGACCGACGAGCAGCACTGCGCGCTTGGCAGAGGACCCACACACGGGCCGCGTCCCCTGACGGCAGCACGCCCCGCACAGGCTCGTTAAACAGCACACTTATGCGGCGCACGCCGGCCGTCTGGCAGCCGATGCTGAAGCTGCGCCGGCTGGCCGCTCACCTGGGCAGCGTCTGCCAGTAGATCCAGCTGGGGATGAACTTGGCCGGGCCGCGCGATGTCTCGGGCCCCTCCAGGATGCTGAGCGTGACGCCCGGCAGCTCGGCCGTCGACTTGAGCGCGGCCACCGCCTGCGCGTGCGTCAGCCCCACCAGACTGCGTCCGTTCACCGACAGCAGGATATCGCCCTTCTGCGGGCACGGGGCGCGGATGTCAGGCAGCGCAGGCCGCCGGGCACGTGCGGCAGGTCAAGGGCAGAGGGGCGCGGCCGCCGGGCAGCGGGACAAATGTGATCAGCGTCCAGCAGTCGGTACAACCAACCAGCAGGCGCGGAACACCGGCTATAGGCTAGAGGAGCATCGCCCCTCGGCGGAGCGTCCCATCCTCAGTCCTCAGGTATTCGTCCTCAGTCTCTCCCAAGCCACCCGGCTGTAGCTCACAAGCCGACCCGACGCCCCGACTCCGCAGACGCGGAGGCGCCGCCGGTTCGTGCGGCTGCCTCCTCAGCCGCCGCCGTCCGACCAACACTGCGCAGCCGGCGGTCGGTCAGACACCGAGCCGCGGCGAGACGCCGCCGCCATCGGCGTCATCCTCGGCCGGCTGGCGCCATTGATCGCCGCCGCCGCGCCGCACTCGCAGTCGCTAATTGTGGTCGGGGCGGGGCGGCACAGCGCTGGTGGCGCCAGTTCATCACGGCGGAAGCTGGCACCGCCTGCAACGGCGCGCGCCCGAGCGGCGGCGGAGGCGACGGCCCCGGCGCGTCACACCGCGCTGCATCCCGGGGTGCCCGCGAGACGCGAGCACCGGCCGGCGCGCCTCGCCGACGCCCACCGATCGCCGGTCCAAGCACACCGGATCGTGGCCTCACGGCGACTAGTTCGCCGCTCACGGCGGCTGTTTCGTGGAACGGAGACGTCCCTCGACACACACAAGCACACAAACACACAAACACGCGGGCAATACGTCGGGACAAACCGCGGGCGCGGCGCACGGCAGGGGAGGACCACCCGGCGCCGGAGCCCGCCCCCACCACGTACCTTGATCTGCTTCGACTTCCCGACGGGGCCCTGGTGGTTGATGTTGGCAATGTAGATGGGCGTGTCGCCCTCGTTGCAGTGGATGCCGCCGCCGATGCGCAAGCCCAGGCTCTCTTTGGCGACCTGCGGCGAAGGACGGCAGCGGTGAGTCGCTGGGGGACGCGCGGCGTCGCGCGGCGTCACGTGACCGCACGGCACGGTCCAGTCCGGACGCGCCAGCCCCCCCCCCCTTCCCCCCTCCCCTCCCACCGGACGTCCGGCCGCGCTCTCCACCGGCTCGCGGGCCCGGCGGCCGTCCTTGGTCCGGCGGCGGCCGCCGACCAGACCGAGTTACCCGCGGCGGCGCACGCCCCGCGATAGGGGCACGACAATGGCGGTATTATACGGCCACTCTGTATTCATGGCCGCCCATCGTGGCCCGATGCCGGACTGATGGGACAGGAGGCTGGCCGCTTCTTATGCCGCGGCGCACATCGTGGCCCGATGCCGGACTGCTGGGACAGGAGGCCGGCCGCTTCTTATGCCGCGGCGCCCATTGTGACCCGATGCCGGACTGATGGGACAGGAGGCCGGCCGCTTCTTATGCCGCGGCGCCCATCGTGGCCCGATGCCGGACTGATGGGACAGGAGGCCGGCCGCTTCTTATGCCGCGGCGCCCATCGTGGCCCGATGCCGGACTGATGGGACAGGAGGCCGGCCGCTTCTTATGCCGCGGCGCCCATTGTGACCCGATGCCGGACTGATGAGACAGGAGGCCGGCCGCTTCTTATCCCGCGCCAGCCAGAACAACGGCATGTCGGCGCATGCCCCCGAGCCGCGGAGCCGGCTCGGTCGACGCGGGGTGTGTCTAGATTGTGAGCCCGTGCGCCGCGCGGAAGCGCGGCAAATAATGACGGCATGTCAGTCATGTGCACGTCCTCGTCTTCACACGTCCAAATGCCGGCGACTGGACGCTGATGGTCGGGGCTGATAATGAATGAAAGGCAAACGTTCAGCTGTGGTCGAAACGCAATAAAACACCGAACGTATGGAAGTACGCATCGCGTGTTACATTGCTCTGATTTCCCGGATGGACGAACACAATGTGCAACAATCAGAGGAAATGCCCTTACGAGGAAATGCTAGTTGCCATTTTCCACCCACTTTTACCGATGTCTAGCGCGGATCCCGTTTGACTGCCGGCATTTGCTGCAAGGGCGGCGGGTGACGTGAGAGAGCAAGCCATCCATCCTGCACTTGCTCTATCACACTCAATGGCTCTCTTCGGTTGAAAGGTGACATTAATAAAGCGTGCCCTCCGCTCCGTACGATGAAAACAAGTGATCACCCCACAAGGCATTGGTATGGGCGATGCGCTGCAGTACTGTCCTTGTAAGTCACTACAACGGTACGTAGATGAAAAAGTGGGCCTGCAGCTGATAAAAGCTTGCGTTTACTTTCTATTTTTGGCGAGATACCTCCAGATCTCATTTCGATAACGCGGCAAATGGAAAGCTGGCATGTGCAAGCGTTTTCCTGCGCCCTGTACACAAAATTGGAAAGTGTCATTCCGTCCCAAATGTCTTTTTACCCGAGCACTGGTTTACGAAAAAGTGCGTCTCGCAAGACTCGTTTCCCAGCACGCTTCAAAATGACTGCGAAAGAACAAACAAGATCACACGGGACACTTGTACTCGAGTGTCACCCAACCAGCAATAAACCAGCCCGCAACTGTAGACCGTAGCCGGCAGGCTTCCTTTTCAATTTTCGACGAATCGCAACAAAGGCTTGTGTCTCGAGACCAGGGACCAACAAAGAGCCAAGTGACGGGTGCGCCGCAGGGGCTGAACGGAGAAAAGTGTTGCCCAGAGCGCACAGACAAGCTCTTATACCCCAGCCAATACGTGTTCGGTTTCAGAGGTTGCGAGAGCATTAGCCACGTGGCGTCCGGTGCCCAGGTCGGGCCAAGCAGCGCGGCAGCTTCCGTCGAGCTGGGAGGGGTCCACACTGCAGCTGGTCTGACCAGGGCGTCCCACGCGGCCGGATCGTGACCCCTCACATGCCGCTAACCAGGTCAGCCCTTTGCCCCGAATTCCATTAGCAAATGTCTCTGGCGCCGGATCTCCGAAAGAAATAGCGTATTTAACATATTGCACCCCAAACTGTATGATGCTGAACAATGTGCAGATCGGAAGAGCTGCACGACCACCCGGCCGCACATCATCACCCGAAGTCGCTGCTTTATCGCGGCAAATACGCTATACAAAGCTGGGGGAGTACAGAACAAACACGGCCTTTCATTCGCGCGAATACAAACAGGGCCATCCGGCCTCCCAGGTGAGCTGCCCAGGTTATGCCTCAGGAACGGTGTCTGCTGCAAATGGGACGAGACGGCCCCAGCTGACCGGTGAGACTGAGACCGATGTGACTGAGACTGACGAGACGGACCGGTGGAACTGAGACCGGTGTGACTGAGACTGACGGGACGGACCAGTGGGACTGAGACCGGCGTGACTGAGACTGACGGGACGGACCGGTGTGACTGAGACTGGTGTGACTGAGACTTATAGGACGGGCCGGTGGGAATAAGACCGGCGTGACTGAGACTGACGAGACTGGTGCGACTGAGACCGACAGGACGAACCGGTGGGACTAAGACCGGCGTGACTGAGACTGACGAGACGGACCGGTGGGACCGAGAACGACGAGACGGACCGGTGGAACTGAGACAGGTGTGACTGAGAACGACGAGACGGACCGGTGGGAATGAGGGGGCGGCCCGCAGTCAGAGCCGTTATCTTGCCGGCCGGTCTTGACTGGTCTCCCGTCCCACACTTTTCGCGGCTGCATTGGCCCTTTCCGCGACATTTCACGCGCGCCTTCTCCTCTTAACCATAACGTAATCCAGACAATCTCATCGACAACAACACCGACACAAAAGTCTCGAGGCACAATGACGCACGAGTCCCTACAAGCGAAGAGAGCTCAGGAACTGCTTGCGGACCGCACGGGCGCCGCGACGCATTTGAACCATGATAGCGTCACTTCTCTGTCTCCGGCCCGCTTTACACCATAGCACACCATACCGACAGTACTGAGCTGTCGGAACGGCACAAGGCAGCACCAACACCATCGAATCCATCAGCAAGCTCATTAACATAACCCGTGGCGCATCGATTTACGACCTGGCAGGCCTCATGATTTCAGTTGCTTGGATAATTAAACTGACAGTTCTGGTTCACGTTCAAACATCGGAGTCGACAATTATAGCCATCACCGTCGGAGTCCTCTCGCAAATAACATCAAAGTGGGAGAGCTCTCGTCAGTCACAGCGACAACAAATTACGCAATGTCACGACCCAGCGGGATGACTGAAAGGACGCCCGACAAGTCCAAATGGCGCTACAGCGACCACACCCATGCAAACACTTCCCAGCGGGACCGTAACACTGCGGCGCCATCAACTACGCCCCTGCAGCGGAAAGGTCGATCCGCGGATTACGAACAAATTGTGGACCGGCACGAACTACACGGTGAAGTTTGCGCTGCGCCAGCAGTAACTCAGATTAAAACAAAACTGGCCCGTCGGACGCTGGCGGCGGCGCCGCTCGGGCTCGGGCTCGGAACCACGCGCGGCGGGCACCGGCGTCCCCCGGTCTGAGTCCGCCCTCCGGTCTGCCAACGCCGCCATCGCCCCAGCCAGTGCGTGGATCAGCCGACCGAGAGCTGAGCCTCCTCCTCCCCCCCCCCCCCCCCTCCCACACACACACCCGGGATACCGACCGTGCCACGCGTTCGCCGAGGCCGCCGTTCGCTGGAGCGCGAGCGGCCGCCGCTCCCTCCAGCGGCTCACCTTGGCGATGGTGACCGTCTTCTGCTGCAGCACGTCGCCCTCGATGCGCAGGCTGCGGCGCAGCTCTTTGCCGCGGCGCCGGTGCTCGCCCGGCTTGGCCGGCAGCGGCGGCGCCGGCGGCGGCGGGTCCGGCGCCGACAGGTGGTCCATCGACTCGCCGCGCGCCTGCCGACAGATGGCGCGGTCCGGCTGGTCGCGGCCGGCCGCCGGCGCCGCCGCCGCCGCCGGCCCCGGCTGCGACAGTCGCTCCGGCGCCGACTTGGTGCGCGCGTGCGCCACGGCCAGGCCCGGCTCGCTGCGGAAGAGGCCGTCCACGGCGTCGTCGCCGCTCGGCGGCGGCGGCGACCGCGACACCACCAGGCTGACGGTCGAGTTGTTCTGGGGACGGACGGACGCCGGTGTCAGGGCGAGAGCCAGCGGCACGGTGATGTCGCATACACGTGTGTGGCGCCTGGCCGAAGGTCGACTGGTAACGGAAACGGCCACGTCGGAGTCGGATGGAGAGCCCGGGATGAGATGGGGAAACGGCGCAGTACCATCATGCCGATAGTGGAGTTGCTCTGTGAAATCACTGGACGAGGAGGGCGGCACGGACAAAGGCGCCGGTCAGCCTGCACCTATGCTCCAAACACGCTCTAACCGCCGTCGGAAGCTCAGCACGACAGCTGAGCCAACTCACGTTACGCCATTCGCCGACGGCACCCAACAGCGACTTGTCTACAGCGGGTGGCACCAGCCCGCCCCCAGCCAGCGTCTCAAAACGCTCCCTCCAAACTGAACTGATCACGGCTGTCCGGATGCATGGCTCCGCCACCCGGCGACAATGCCGGGGATGCAAGGCCAGCGGGCGACCGGCGTCGGCACATCGCCGGACTGGTGTCGGGAGACGCTGGCCGGGGCGTCGGCACATCGCCGGACTGGCGTCGGGAGACGCCGGCCGGGGCGTCGGCACATCGCCGGACTGGTGTCGGGAGACGCCGGCCGGGGCGTCGGCACATCGCCGGACTGGCGTCGGGAGACGCCGGCCGGGGCGTCGGCACATCCCTGGACTGGTGTCGGGAGACGCCGGCCGGGGCGTCGGCACATCGCCGGACTGGTGTCGGGAGACGCCGGCCGAGGCCGCATCGCGTCCCCTGTCGGCGCCGCCGACACCGAGCCCCCGGGCCGCGACTCGCCGCCGCACACAAAGGGCGGACGACGGAAGTTTTCTCATCAGGCGCCGCCAGGATCTCGACCGGGATCTGCGTCGGCATCTGCGATACCGGCCACCCGCGCCGCGTCCGTCCGGGCGGCGAGACGACGGAGACCGTGCACCGGTCAGGTGAGGTCAGGTGAGGTCAGGTGAGGTCAGGTGAAGTCAGGTGAGGCTGGATCCGGCCGGACCCGACCCCGCCGAACCAGGGGACCACACCAGAGAATGGCGCAGGTCACGCCAGACACGTCCACGCTGACAGGCGCCCGCCCGACCGCGCCGCCGTCGGAAATAGCCGAGGCCGGACGGGACGCGCCAGGTCGGCTGAAGCTCTCCGTGTCCAGCGGCGGCACGCCCGCCCCAGCGGAGAGCTCGCCCGCCGGGGCGGGGCGCAGAGGGCGCCGCTCGTCAGACGCCGTCATCCCGTCGCGACCGGCGCGATGACCGGCGGTGCCCAGCGGGCATGGCCGACGTTCCAGCTCTCATGCGCCACTGCCAGGCGAGAAGCCTCTCGGCAATGTCCGCAACGGGCCACCCACAGCGGGCGGCGGTCCCGCCTGTTGAGTGCTACCGCTCCGACACCTCGTGCTTGGGGATATGGTCAGACAAGGTCGACAAACACGCCAGTCGGGTGGTGTGACTTTTGCTTTCGTGGTCGTATAATTGCCAATTAGCGTCGGCGGTGCAGAGCAGAGTTTCGCGCGGCCTAATTAAGAAATGATGAAGGCAGAACCAAGGCGACACACGATTTCTGAGAACTCTCGCAACACCCGGTGAACGATGTTGACACAACCATGTGACAGCACAAAGCTACTCGAGCACGGCGAGAGCATGATAAAGAGCGCTACCGTCACTTTTTGGCTCCATAAAACAGGAGTCATGGACTCTGTCAGGTGATCCAGTACCCACTCCCCAGTGAGACACCTGCTTGGCTACCGAGCGACCCCCCCCCCCCCCCCCCCCCAACAAGAGCGCGACCCAGTGAGACTGCACGTTCCCCAACATATAACGGTACAGACGAGCTGCCGGTGCCACTCCGGGCCGCCAGCTGTCAGCATCGACCGCGCGTGCCGTCAGTGACGGCAGCCGGCCAGACGGGGCCCAGACACCGCCGCCGCGCCCGGCGCTGAGGCGACCGCGGTGCAGGTACTCGCGTGGGGGCGCCACCGGTGCCGGCGCCCACGCCACGCCGTCTGCCGGCCGCGTGCGGCGGCCCCCGACGCCGGCGCGGCGACGATGGTGTCGAGGTTCGCGGATGCCGGCCGCCGGGGAGGAACCATCCAGCCACCTGGCGTGACACGAGAGCGGGGAGGCCCCACGCCGTCTGCCGGCCGCGTGCGGCGGCCCCCGACGCCGGCGCGGCGACGGTGGTGTCAAGGTTCGCGGGCGCCGGCCGCCGGGGAGGAACCACCCGGCCACCTGGCGCGACACCAGAGCGGGGAGGCCCCACGCCGTCTGCCGGCCGCGGGCGGGCGCCGCAACGAAGTCTGCGGTCGCGGACGGTGCCGTCCCCGGCCGGCCGAGCGGGCCGCTCCGGGAGAGCCGCCGCCGGTATGCGCGGGATCGATGGCGAGCTGACTCACAGGTGGGGTCGTCACCCGGCCGCCACGCCGCCGGACGTTCCCAGGAAACGCGCCGCGCGACCGACCACAACAGGCCGGCGCCCACGGACGGCCCGGCAGCCGCCGTGGGGCAGCCGCCGGGGCCGGCCGGTCAGACCGGGCTCGGGTGCGCCAGTGGAGCGCTCGGGGAGTGGCCCGCTCCGGGCCGGCCTCCCGCGGCCGCCAGCACGGCTTCTGTGTCAACTTAGGGCCTACAAAGCCGACGCCATCACTCACCGGTCCAATTAATCCGCAATCACGGACGTCACAGTCGCTCTGGCTCTAGCCGGCTGCTTAAGCCAGTCTCTGCTGCTTGGCCGGTTCAGTCGTATATCTTGCTAAGTCAGTCAGAAGCACGCCTCTCCCCTCCCTACCCAACCCCGTCTGCCGGAACAGGAGCCACCTACGGTTCCATCTTCCGCGCCGTCCCTCCCGCCGCGGTCCGCGACTCCGGCCAGCCAGGCCGGCGTCTCCGCCGGCAACGGTACAAAGCACGGCCACCCGCGGCCGCGGCACCACACGCCCACGGGCAGCATGCCCAGTAGCCGACAGCGCCGTGTCAGCAGCACCTCCGAGAACGGCCCCGCCACGGCCATTAGGCCGCCACTGAGGAGGCGGACAGCTCCGGACTCGCTGGCGATCCTCCAGCGGCCAGCGCGCCCGGCGCTGCATGTGTCGGACCGGCGCCGGTACGGCGAGGTGGAGATCACGTATCCTCACGCCGCGGGGACGAGACCGGACGCTGGCGGCGGGCGGCAGTGAACGCCGCCGCCGACTGGCTCTAACTCGACAGCCGCAGCCGCAGCGCTACTCTTGGTCACCTTCCGGATCGCCTCTGACGCTCCCGACAAGGGCGGCAGCGGCGCGCCGGCGGCGGACGTCCAGTCCGTGAGAGGCGCGCCGCTCCCATCCTCGCCAGCGCCGACACACACACACACACACTACCGTCGCACGCCGAGCGTCGCGACTGGCACCGGTGTGACGGAGGGCCTCTCCGCGCAGCCGGCGCCGTCGCCCACAGCAGCGGCGACAGCGCCTTATCGCCGCCACTGCCGCCGTCGCCCGACCGCCGTCGCCTGTTTACGGGCCGGGCGTAACAGCCTTTCCGCGCACCGGCGACGTCCCTGATGACGAGAAAACGTCCGCCGACGACTCATAACGGCGCGTAATGACCCATTTTCGCGCGCGCGCCCCCCGGGAGTCGGCGGGACGTCCGCGGATGATTTACGAGGGCGGCGACGGCCCGCGCGCGCGGCGCGGCGGCGGACGCCGTCGGCGCGCCACCCGCCAGCCACAACCGACGCCGGACACATCTCGCTAATACCGACGGGCGCACTCGCGCCGACCTGACCGGCGCCCGGGGAGCCGCCGACAGCGGCCGCGCCATCCCGCCAGCGGTCACCGGCTGAAGGGAGGGAGAGGGGGGGGGGGGGGGATGGCGGCGGGCGGCGCACGGACCGCGGGCGCGGAGACGGGCCGCGGCGCACCTGTATGAGCTCGCAGGCCAGCTGCAGTCGGCCGTGACGCACGTCGCGGCCGTTGATGTAGAGGATGCGGTCGTCGCGGCGCAGGCGGGCGTCTTGCGAGGCGGCCGAGCCGCCGATCACCTCGGCCACGTGCACGCCGTCGCCGGCCGGGCCGCAGCGGCGCGACACCAGCTTGATGCCCAGCGTCTGGCCGGGCGCCTTCTCCAGCGTCACCGTGTGCAGCTCCGGATCTGAGGGCGACAGCACACTCCGCGTCAGGCAGCCGCTGGCGCGCGGCACCGGTCGCCGCACCGACACTGCGGACGGCAGGACGGCAGCACGGCCCGTCAGCTGACGCACACGGACCCAGGCTCTGCAGCAGGGCGTATCCACATGTGCGAGTGGTCGGTGGGCTGGCCGTCACCAACTGAAAATCTTGTTAAGAACGTGTTTATCTCACGTCCTGTGTTAAGAAGTGTTTTTAAGGTCCTCTAGCGTGTCAGACGACGAACGCGGCGTGGGTACTTGAAAGGGGAGGGGAGGGGAGGGGAGGGGGAGGGGAGGAGAGGAGAGGGGAGAGAGGAGAGAGAAGAGAAGACGAGAGGAGAAGAGAGGAGAGGAGAGGAGAGGAGAGGAGAGGAGATACGAGACGAGACGAGACGAGACGAGACGAGACGAGACGAGAAAGAGGAGAGGAGAGAGAGAAGAGAGAGGAGAGGAGGGGAGAGGAGACAAGAGGGCAGGAGATGAGAGGAGAGGGGAGGGCAGGAGAGGAGAGACGAGATGAGTGGTGAGGAGAAACGAGACGAGATGAGTGATAAGGAGAAACGAGACAAGACGAGATGAGACGAGAGACCAGGACGGCAGACAGGAAACTAAATATACGTGTTTCCCTCCGGACCGCGCACACCAATAAGCACTCTGCTCGTATGACGCGCACGATAACAATAATTACAGAAGTGTCCATTACACCACACCGCCAGCTGCTGCGCTCATCACCAACAGCAATCGGCGCCGGCGCGCGTGCTGTTTTCCACGCCCGCGCCGCGGCCCTGCTCATTACGACGCCTCTCGTTCACGCGCGCCCGCGGCTGGGGGCGCCGCCGACCGCTCTCTCCCCGAGCCGCTATTGCTCGCCGCTATCATCGACCCCGTGATGACCCCGGCGGGCTTCCGGACGCGCTGTTGGCCGAAAAAAACACGCACAGAGATTCCGGCGACAGCGACCACGCCAGGTCAGCCAGCGCCGACCTGGGCCGTTCCGGCGCTGGCAACGGTTCATTTCGGCCGGTCCCATCGAGCCCGGACGCCTTTTCCAGGTGGCCGGGGTCAGCCGAGGCGGCGGCATGCATTCCAGGACACAAACCGCTGCCACAGATCGTTTGCGTGTCGCGGAAGAAGGAAATTAATTAAGGTATTTAATTACAGAGACTACTAATGGCGCCCAGAAGAGCCGTGGATTTCATCCCAGTTCAAGCCTCAGACTGAAATGATGCAATTAATCTCGTGCAAATTGAATGCTGATGGAAGCATAAATAAAACGCCTTTTCTATGCCTATGTTCATTTTGCAAAGCCTAGTTTAAACGTTCTGATATGATCATAGCTCTACGATGGCCAAGCAACAGCCGTACTGAGGAACTTGCCACAAAAAGGTACTTAATGCACCTGTTCCGAGGAAGACAGTACTTCCCACAACATAAGTAAGGCCTTCAGGTCCTGATTTTTCGGCATTATAAGTTGGAAGTTCTTATGCTGGGTGAACGACCTTCAATATGCCGGGAGATACTGGTTGAACGACGACGTTGCAGTGCTAAATAAATACAAATAGCATACTCAACAAGCAATTTGATGTAACAGAAATCAACACAACCGTTATTTAGCATTGCAATGTCGTTTACCAAACACCGTATGGCGTACTCCAGCATGCATAGTTCGTAATCCCTCCATGCAGTCAACCATGATCGGTGGAAGCCAAAACTGGTGTCACCCCTATATCCCGATATGCGGCCATTTGCAGCCTGTCACGGCGTGTTGAGTGCCCACCGACAGCCCCGACAATCTCACGCGCGCGTGCACCCTCGCCACGCAGCGTATCGACCCAGTCACGTCCGTTGCTGCCGCAGCCGCCGCGCCGCCCAGCCGTCGGACCGGTGCGCTGGCCGCCGGCTCGGGCCCGCCCCGTCTGAGGCCGGGGTCGCCAAACGGCGCACGAGGCGGCTGACTGCGTCCCGGCACCGCCAGATAACGGGCAGCCGACGGCAGGAGCGGAAGAGCCGGAGAGTGGGCAGCGGAATTAGAAGATTGCAAAGGGAAAGCCAGAAGGGAGATGCGGACAAATGAAGCGCATTAACTAATTAGAAACGAAATGAACCGTCGAAGCAAAACTAGGATGCCGGATGACGCCTGTTGATTCGCTAACGCTAAATGAACAAGAACGAATCTATTGCAGCCAAAATGCATTGCTGCCGCTAACTTTTCCAAGCACGAGCGCGATCGACAAGCCGCAACTTCGTCCAGAAAAACGCTTACGAAATCGAAATTCGCGCGCAAAGCAACGCCCAGGAACAACACCAACACTACAAATTATTAGTGTTGCAAGTGGCCACTACTTTTTGCTTCTAAGCTTTGAGCCTTACGACTACTGACGTCAGCGCGATAGATAAAGGAGCGGAATGAACGCGGCACAAACAAATAGTATAAGATTGTCAAATCCAGCAAAGTATCCGCAGCAAGTGGCAGAGTACGAGCGCGCGGCGCGAGAGGGAGAGCGGGGGAGAGAGAGAGAGAGAGAGAGAGAGAGAGAGAGAGAGAGAGAGGAGCAGAGAGAGAGAGAGAGAGAGAGAGAGAGAGAGAGAGAGAGAGAGAGAGAGAGAGAGGAGAGAGAGAGAGAGAGTGAGAGAGAGAGAGAGAGGAGAGGAGAGAGAGAGAGAGAGAGGAGAGAGAGAGAGAGAGAGAGAGAGAGAGAGAGAGAGAGAGAGAGAGAGAGAGAGAGAGAGAGAGAGAGAGAGAGAGAGAGAGAGAGAGAGAGAGAGAGAGAGAGAGAGAGAGAGAGAGAGAGAGAGAGAGAGAGAGAGAGAGCGGAGAGAGAGAAGAGAGAGAGAGAGAGAGAGAGAGAGAGAGAGAGAGAGAGAGAGAGAGAGAGAGGAGAGAGAGAGAGAGAGAGAGAGAGAGAGAGAGAGAGAGAGAGAGAGAGAGAGAGAGAGAGAGAAGAAGAAAGAAGAAAGACAGCCAGAAAAAAGACAGCCAGAAAGAAAGACAAGCCAGAAAGAAAGACAGCCAGAAAGAAAGACAGCCAGAAAGAAAGACAGCCAGAAAGAAAGACAGCCAGAAAGAAAGACAGCCAGAAAGAAAGACAGCCAGAAAGAAAGACACCAGAAGAAAAGACAGCAGAAAGAGCAGCAAAAGAAAGACAGAAAGAAGACACAAGAAAGACCGCCAGAAAAAAGACGGAAAGAATAGCCAGAAAGAAAACAGCAGAAAGAAAGGCCAGAAAGAAAGACAGCCAGAAAGAAAGAAGCCTAGAAAGAAAGACAGAAAAAGACAGCAGGAAAGAGCAGAAAAGAAAAGAAAGAAGCACAGAAAGAAGACCAGAAAGACAGACAGAAAGACGACAGAAGCGGAAGAAGACGGAAACGAAAGAAAGAAGACGAAAAAAGGAAGACGGAAAGAAGACGGAAAGAAAGGCAGAAAGACAGGAAGCGAGAAAGAAAGAGACCCAGATAAGGGTAAGGCCAACGACCGTCGCCACAGCAGAGCGTGTCGATGCTCTCCGTCTCGCCGTCAGCTTGTGGGCGGCAGCTTCCCGAAGCTGTCAGTGGAGGCCCCCGTCTCTGCCGCCTCAAACGTCGCCGACTGATGACCGTCCTTGGTCCGACCTGTCCTTGGTCCACCCCTGTCCTTGTCCTCCCCCAAATGATATCGTCCTTGGTCTGACCTTCCCCCCTTCCCGCCGAGCAGCATTCCTCAGCGCAAACCGTAAATCAAAGCGGAACCAGGCGGCTGCGCCGGCCTGAGCTCGTCTCGCGGGCCCGACTCTGGCAGGCTGCCGGCGCCGCCAGAGCCCGTCACGGCCGCGAGCGGCGGCGGCGGCGCTCGCCCCACAGAAAAGTGGTCAGCCGTCAGCGCACGGGCCGACCGGGGCGTCCAGCAGGATAGAGTCCCGCTGCAGGCGGGTTACGTGAGCGCCATCCTGACCAGCAGCGCCGACGGCGACGGCAGGCGTGTCAGGCGCTGCAGCGGTTGCTAGCCCAGTTCGCCCCGCTGTGCGGAAACCTGAGCTGGGATCCAGAGGACAACACAGAAGTTTGCATGGGAAAGTTATGCAAGGCGCCAGCTGGGACGTTTTCGCAACAAAGCGCCGCTGCCGCCAGGTCATGAGCGGACAGGCCGCTTACATAACACACGTCCATCGATCCTCTGATCAATGCTGACAAAAGCGATTCTGTCCAACATGTGCACTCCTGGACCAGCCGGTAAATGCGCCATGCAATACAAAGACCGCGCGGTTCATTTCCAAACGCTGCCGGCAGACGCGGCACATGCCGGGGCATGCCTCTGGCTGGCGCCGTCAGCGCGGTGCGTCCCCTCCGGCGGCACGTACTGTCCATCAGCGCGGTGCGCCCCTTCCGGAGGCACGTACTGTCCGTCAGCGCGGTGTGCCCCCTCCGGCGGCACGTACTGTCCATCAGCGCGGTGCGTCCCCTCCGGAGGCACGTACTGTCCGTCAGCGCGGTGTGCCCCCCCCCCCCCCCCCCCCAGAGGCACGTTCTGTCCATCAGCGCGGTGCGTCCCCTCCGGAGGCACGTGCTGACCCATCAGCGCGGTGTGCCCCCTCCAGAGGCATGTACTGTCCGTCAGCGCGGTGCGTCCCCTCCGGAGGCACGTACCGTCAGAGGGCGGCGGCGGGTCGATCTTCTCGCGGTACACGCCCAGCTGTAGCACGGGCGTCTGCACCTTCAGGGCCTGGCAGATCTGAAACACCAGCAGGCCGGCTCCGTCATGCGGGAGCTCCGGGCAGCGGCCGGCACCGGCGCCGGCGCCAGGGTTATAGTCAATACACCTGGCAACAGATGCGCTCAGTGCGGCAAACACAGATCGCGTTGCACCTCAGCGTTCAATTAGTCTATGCTATCAAGGATCAACTATTACAGCTCCGGATGCACTGTCGTCTCCCTCGATACGCGCCGTCGCCGTCGCTCTACAGGAAAGCGAGCAGGCATACCCCCACCACCCAGCCCCCAGAGCTCATTACATCATGGCAACGGCCAGGCGGGACAGGGTCGGGCGTCCCCCGGCGCCTCCTTCCGGTTCCGGCGTGTTCGGCCCGGGCACGCGCGCGCCGCCGGGCGGCCCGCTGACATTTCGTGAGGCGACCGGCCGTCGGCCATTTGCCTAATGCACACCTCTGACGGAGGCCCGGCTCGGCAGCGAGCGCGCGGCGGCTGCGGACGGTTCTGATCACAGAGCCGTGAGCGCGCGGCGGCTGCAGACGGCTCTGATCACAGAGCTGTGAGCGCGTGGTGGCTTCAAACGGCTCTGATCACAGGGCCGTGAGCGCGTGGTGGCTTCAAACGGCTCTGATCACAGGGCCGTGAGCGCGCAGTAGCTTTAGACGGCTCTGATCACAGGGCCGTGAGCGCGTGGTGGCTTCAAACGGCTCTGATCACGGGGCCGTGAGCGCGCATTAGCTTTAGACGGCTCTGGTCATAGGGCCGTGAGCGCCACTGCACCGTCATAGTTTGAGCCATTCCTGCATATAATGCAGCGAATAAATCATTTCGTGCACGTATCCGCGACAACGCACATACAACCATCAGAGACTTAATACTAAATCAGACAATTTCATATCATATTCATTTCCTATGTATTTCCGAACACACCGAACTTCTCCACAATGCGTGCATCCACTAATAAATTCGGAAATTCCGTCAACACCCAATGCTTGCGGGTACCGGACGATTCGTGCCTGGCCGAGCTTGTTTGCAGCCTTCACAGTCAGACCGCAATGATGCCACTGCGAAGCCTCTCATTTCTACACTGCTTAAGCACTCCAGTGGGCCCCACTTGGCCCACGCTCCTGGTTTCGTCCACGGTAGCTTATAAAAAGATTGGTCTTATCTTGTGGTTAGTGTCTTGTGGTCAGTGTGTGCTTAGTATTCGTGACCATTGTAACCATTCACGACGGGAAAATCGCATGCATGCTGTCATTATCAGGAGAAATGGCCGTGACACTAATGATGACGATGGCATAAACAACAGCCAGTTGTTACGTAACAGAACGTGCCCGTCAATTTTCTGTGAATTTAACGAAGACAAATAATCCATTTAATTGGCACGAGACGCAAGTCATCATACATGCAACTCTGTGATGCTAGTAAGGGGTCGCTATGCTGGATACGTCTACAGTGAAGCCGGCAGAGAATTGTTGGCGAACTGGTAATAATGAGGCCTTGGACTTAAGATGAGAGCAAATTCCAGTGGGGCTTACTTTCGGCGTCGGCCGCTAATGAAGTCCGAAATTCCTGCATCCTTCTGCCTTCCATCAAAAACCCCAGTTTTACCAGGGATTTTCACAAATAATCCCACATCTCACCGCAGAAATGGACGTAAAATCGGATCCTGAGATTGGTAACACGTGCAGGCGGCGGACTTTACTACACCAACACCGCGGGCCAAACGCAGCCCTGAACACAGGCCTTTACTAGCCCGGCACGCGCGTCCCCCAATCGCATCACCCGACCGACAGTGACAGCGCGTGGCAACCCGCGCGCTCGGTGATGGCCACGGCCCGTCCCGCCGGCTTCCGCTGCGACACCGCACCGGCCGGCCGGCCCCGCGCGGGGCCGGCCGGCGCGTCTCGGGTGAGGCTCCTCTGCGCCGGCGGTGGGGCGCCGCCGCCGGACTGGCTCTCCCCCATCCAGTCACCGGCGGGCGGCCCGTGAGTCAGCGGCCGCCGCCGACCCACCACGGCGGACGGTGTGACCGGTCTCAAGCCTGCCGCCGTTGAGCAGCCCGCAAAAAATGCCCCGCTGTCGATCACAGAGCCAAGCCGTTTCTACGAAGCCGCGGTCGTTAACTCGCGCCAGGTGCACGCCAAGCCCACACAGTGCATGGTTTCATGCACGGTATGGAGTTAAATCCCAATAATTTGATCCATAATTTTCGCATTAGTTTTAGAAAATTATCCATAACTTTCCAACGTTCTTGGTTAACTGTGATACCGTTTCATGATTGCATGCAACTAGGATACCACTAACACGTGAAGGTAGCCTCCACCACCTGCGTCACTCAAACAGACAAGAGCACAATCTGAGCGGACAATTGCCACATCGATCGAGCTCCAGTAAAGCTGACAGCCTCCTCTCTCGCTGCCACAAAATACGGACCCGAAGACCCCACCCGCTGAGCACTCTCCAGCGAAAGCGATGAAAGAGCCAAGGTAGACGAAGAGTGACGCATGCCGAAACCCTCGCCGTCCGTGTCTCACGCCTACGGAGACACACTGGACCTCTCCACCACAGGACCTTCTGCTTCCGCCGAGCAGAATGAAGACATATCTCTCCCAGGCGCGGACCAACTTTACTCATTTCTACGAACTTCTTTCAAACAAAAACGTGGCAACGCCTCCGGGAGCCCGCACGCCGGCAACTTATGTGCGTTCCGCATGAACCAACCGAGCGCGCGAAAACTTCCCAGAAGCGCGTCGATACTCGTATGTCCTTGGTCCGCCACCGTCTCTACACCCAAGACGCTCCAACGCTCCCACCGAGTGCACATGAAGGTAGGGTTGGCCTGTAAGCTAACGAGGCAAACCTTGCCATCCAAGCTATCTGAATACGCCTAGATAGTGACATTTTCGCACCGGCACAAACAAAGCTGAAATCTTCCACAAAGTCAGGGAGCATGACACCACCACTAACGGCTTCGGATATTTTCCAGGGTACACAATGCACAGAATGCTGATATCTGTGCCCGCCGCCAGACGGCTACGTTCACATACCATCGACGTTCACAACCAGTTTGTTCGTAGAGGCGTCATACGGTGCCATGAATGCCGTAAGCTGTTCTCCGCGGTATCGTCTGAGGCCTGCAGCCGTCAGTGAGGTCACCGCCGACAGGTAAGCTGACATAGCAATGGGCACCTACGACGCTTTACGCCTTACGGTTAATGCCAAGTGATTTACACTCCACCTTGCGGACGGCTTAGCTCCGTCTACGAAGCGTCCGTCCGTGACCGTTTGCGGAAAATTACAGGATCGCACCTAGCCAGTGGCCTACAGTTTTGTTCTCTTATGATGTTCCGTCGGGGAGGTGCAGTGCTGCATCATCTCCTTTAGGCGTTTAATGTGACGTCATGCCCCCCTTCCCCCCAACACACTTCCGAAGCCATAGCAATGTTCTCTTATAATAGAATGACGGTATATAGCGATATACGGTTTTGCTATGATACACCAGCGAACCTGGGAGCCAATCCGGCTAATTTCAAACACGCCATGCACACGCTGCGGGCGCCTTTGAAGCAAAGCATGCCTGAATAAACAGAGCTTGTTTTAAACACACCGAATAATAGTTGCAGCTTGAGTTATATGAAATATTATAAACTATACATACATATATACATATATATATATATATATATATATATATATATGTCTACATAAAAAACGAGAGGCAAACAGCATTTAAACGTCCCCACAGCGGAGAACACTTCAAAGTTACCAGAGCTCCGAGCGTGATGTACGACGCCGGAGGTCGGTTATTACCATTTTGTGGGAGACGTTCGTCATGTCGACGCCGGAGGTCGGTTATTACCATTTTGTGGGAGACGTTCGTCATGTCGACGCCGGAGGTCGGTTGTTACCATTTTGTGGGAGACGTTCGTCATATCGAAGCCGGAGGTCGGTTATTACCATTCTGTGGGAAGCGTTCGTCATGTCGACGCCGGAGGTCGGTTATTACCATTTTGTGGGAGGCGTTCGTCATGTCGACACCGTTGACCTCGACGATCTGATCTCCCGGCTGGAGCCGACCGTCCTGGGCCACCAGGCTGTCGGGGAACACCTCCTGGATGACCACGCAGCGCTGCCAAAGAAAGCCCCCGGGTCAACAGAGCGTGGCAGTCTGTCGACTTCGCAGCGCTCGTCAGTGGTACGACACTCACGCCTGGACACGGCATCCACACACACACACACGGGTCAACGGCACTGCCGTCGCGTGGTATCGAGTCGTCGTCGTCGTCGAGTCGCGAGCCAAACGAGCCTGGTACCGGCATTAAGGTCAACGGTCACGCGTGACGTCACTGGCCACAAGACGCGCTAACGCGTGACGTCATTCGTCACAAGGCGCGCTCCAGGCCAGTGGACGCCTCGGCGAGCAATGATGCGCGTCGACTGAAGCCGTCCGCGCAGAGACTGCACAGTCCAGCCCATTGTCGCCGGACGGTGGGCATGCTGTGAGGACCACCGCTTACGGACACCTGCTGTCGACGATGGCAACAGGAAGCGTGCGTACATCTTACCTGCATACATACACATACATACACATGCATAAATACATGCACACATGCGTGCACAGACGCACGCAGCTATGGACTTCAAAGTTATCGATATGTCCATCGGAGTTTGCAATATGCTGCAGTATATGCATTATTCCATACAAATGCTAAATGGTGGACTGCGTGACGCTTTATGGTGACTTGGCGTGCGTGCAGCTGGCATTTGCACTTGACGCGATTGGCGCACTTCTTACCGACAAATTGCGATCGCCAGTTCCACGTTTAACTGATGTGCTGACTTGCTATGAGGTGCGCATCATGTTTAAGTGTTTTATTAATATTTACCCACGCGACGTTCGGAAAATCAACCCGGTAAGACAGTGCATGTTCAGGAACGACAAGCCAGAACGCTTTCAGCCCGCTGGGCGCTGAGCATCATAACATCGAACAAAAAACACGGACGCAGGCAGGACCTGAACAACGCACAGCGGGCAACAAACGGAGACGTCTCTGATTTCGGCGCAATCGCTTGTAGTTATTACGGCAAAGACCGTTGTCCCGCACGCTCTCCCCGAAGTGGGTCGGAATTCAGCAGCCCGAAGCCTACCACACGCCATGGCATTGTGTTCCGCACCCAAATGCCGTTCCAACTTCCACCACGGCAGGAGGCAGCTTACCAGCATCACAATGCGTCGTCGAGAGAGCCACGCAGACTCCGAAGTCTTTCATCGGAGCGAGACCTCTCAAATGGCAGCATCTCGTAACCGTTAGGGCGCTTTGCAAGCCGCCCGCATACCATTATACTTTATGCGGCGAGGGTACGCATATTTCAGTGAAACCCCAGCGAAGTCATATGAACTGCAGCACACAGCTGATAGCGGCCTGTCCAGACTCCCGTCACGTTCCGGGAACACAAGAGTGCGCGTGCAGTCCGCTCGCGTGCTGAGCACACCGGCCGGTTAGCAGAACACAGGTTTGGCAGCTGACCGCAGGACTCATGTAAAAAAGCCGGCGTGCGACTGCCGTATTTCACGAACATGCGGCTCCTTCTCCGCCATGGTCATGACATAAATCAAAAACATGAAAAATGCATCGTAACCGCTGGATATGAAAAATGGCGCCGATTTCGAGTACGTCTGATGTCCAGACTGAACGGCCGTCAGCCTTCGCTTAGAGGAGCCGCACGTCCTGCAGCTACGCGCCAAACCCGCTTCAAAAAACAGGTCCGCCGATAAGTTTTAAATTATTCGGGAAAACGCAGTCCCACATGTCAATCATGGAACGCACGGTCTCCCGCGTGGTCACGGACACATTAATCAATACCACAAATCGAACACTGCGTGGGCTGGGTCGGACCATGTCCCGCCATCGTTTGGACCAGCTTGTGACAATCACAGTCGCCCGACGGGAAAACCGGACCGGACGGGCCGACAATAACCCGCGCACATGTCCGGCTCCGCTCAAATAGCGGCACACTTCAATCGGCTTCAAATGGGTCAGCGTTAGATTGATCCACACGCCTCCACGAGCAAGAGCGGCGCATTTGGCAGAGTCAATGCCAGACAAACACGCTGACCAATGACGGGATTATCCGGGCCCAATTTCTCAAACAAGCTTCAACAGCGAAATGCTGCGCCCTGATTTGGATGAAACAATGCACCAAGCGACTTGCATGCCTAGTTTTGAGTTCAGGGTGTGTGCGAAGTATAGCCTTCTGCGCATACCCCGAATCCATCGCGAAAGTTGTGCCGTCCAGCTGAATGGACAATTTCGCGCCAGTCCTTTCGGCAGACTGCGGAGGGTTTTACGCAACGCGAAATGCTGCTACGCGCCAGCTCCGGCACAGGGTAGACCGTCCTTGGCCAGTTCTAACATTTCACGAGTACGGTCACCGACACATTTTTGGGATTTAATGGGCAGAAAGCCGACGCGTAAATTAATTTCAAACTTGAGGAACGTCGAAAAATAGATTTCAAGGAGCGAACGAGCACTTCTGCGATCAAACATGCGAGACGATCGATCCCGTGTGCCTCATTGAACTTCAAAGGGACAAGTCCGGAAGCGTGCGCCTGCAAGGTAGATATACGAGAGCGTCGCGTACATCAGACGCGTAAATACTGATCCCATTTGCCCACTTCCGAGCCCAGTTCTCTCCGCGGCGGATGCATTCATTCGCATGCCACGCCCTTCCCGAGTTCATTTCCGGCACCCGCTCGTGCAGGACGGCAGTCCACCTCAGCTTCGTCCCATTCATCGGCTGGTACCCCCTCCGCCCCCCCCCCCCCCTCACGGCGTTGTCGGTGCTGGTTCCGCCGACTCAACTGGCGTCCGTCGGGGTGCCGAGCTCGTGTCCGGCTCCGGCCGGCCGCCGACGGCTCCGCCGCGTCGGCACGGCCGACCGAGGCGGCGAGCGCGGCGGGCCAGTCTACGGCGACAGGCGGCCGGCGGAGGGCGCCGGCGCCGCGGCCGCACCCTCGGACGCATCCACGGGACGGCGCGGCAGCCCCGCCGCCTCGGCACCGCGCGCCGCACGACTCCACGGGCCGCTGCGACGCGCGCGTGTCCGGCAGCGCCCTGTCCGGAAGCCGCCGGCGGCGGGCGGCCGGCGGCGGCTGCCGTGCTGCGGCGCGGCTGGTCACCGTCAAGCAGTCTCGGTGCTGGGGCGGCGGCCCGCCGCGTGACCGGCCGGCGCGTGCGATGCCGTCCGGGCTCTGCCGCCTACTGCCGGGCGGCCCACACGCGATCTGTGGCGCCGCAGCCGCCCGCCGCCACGCGCAGCACGGCCAGATCGTTGTCACCTGTCGCCGCTCCGATAGGGCCGCGCGATAGGCGGCCGGTGGCGGCCGCACGGCGCCGCGCCGTCCCCATTATACAGCGACCACTCTCACTTGGCCGGCATCTCGGGATCGGCAGAGCTGTAGCGACGGCTGCGCGGCCGCCCGACAAAGTGGCCATCCGGGTGCTGTGACAATTCTGCCCAGCGGCCATGCCGTCACCTGTTCGGCAGCTCGGCCTGCCTTATGACTCGTCCAATCACAATGCACCCAGGCCTTTCGGTTTTTTTCTTTTGTGAGGCGGACACGCCCGCCTCCAAGCTGACGTCGCGTGAGCAGTAGCACCCGTTCGTGCTCCATTGTCTATTGATCTGTCCGCTGTTGGAGACGATGAGGCATTTCCAGACTCCGCCTTGGACACAAGATGACAGCCATGCCAAGAAGTTGCATGTTTGCCCGTGGACAGGCCGCTTTTTTAACAAGAAGTGCCCACTCACCCCGCCGACGAACGACAGCTTTCGGCAACGACAAAATAACAACTCCGGAAGTTCGCGATCAACGACAGGGAAAGAGCGGAGCGTATGCATAAGAAGCCAGCCCACATCCATTGACCCCCACCAAGGCTGATACTTTAAAACAAGAAGCGGCCTTGTCGTGGCTGTGCACTGGGGTTGGCGCACGTGCTCCGGCGTATAGTCCGTCATCATCTGTTTTTATCGGGGAGGACGGGGTCTGGGCCAGCTTTAACCTTAAAAAGCTGATACATCGTGGCTTTATTTTATGCGTTCCCAAGAACGACGGACCCTTTCTGCTCACATCGGGTGTTTTGGACAATGTGGCAACATACACGTCCGCTATCACGTAGTGTGTCCCAACCTACCGCGAGGCGTCTTACTGGTTTCGTCCCAAACTCCTGCGAGGCGTTTCACTGGTTGTAATGTCACAGATGTACAAAGTAAGAGGGCACTTTTGCTTCCTTGCTTTCCGGACCATCTTCACCTGGTCAGTGTGCGTTGTAGGAGTTCCTATGAAGCCCATCCAGTGCCAATCTGTGTTTTCGTCTTTATAAATTACAAAAAGGAGAAAACGGGGCATTTATGCTGCGCTTCGTATGCAGCTGCGCCCAAAACCACAAGTGTGACCACCGAGAAAGAAATATGGCCTTCTTGACAGGTGACTGCTGTTTGCTGCATTATCCCATGGGTTTCACATTCCTGCAATCTACCCGCACTTATGCATGCAAAGCCAACAACAACAAGTCTGGGAATGATCGGTGCAAGGCTCATTCGCTTAAGACGGACACAAACATGCGAGCTTTCACGGGCCCTTTTTACAAACACGAAGATATGCAATCCTATATCAGCCAATAGAAACCTAACAACGAAATGCACACGGGACCAATGCAGGACCAATGAGGTCGTTCCAGACATGAACCTATGGGTAAAAGTCATCAACGGAAGTGAGCCGTAGCATAGCAACGACATGTTTACTGTTCCGTACCGACGAACATTGAAATTTTCCCTCTGCACTGAACAAGTATTAACGTGAATTTCTCCGGTATTCAATATCTTCCTGTGTCGCCGAGTCCGTTGTCATATGCTATCGAAACGTCGGTGGATTCTAGCGAACCCCAGAAATTCACAACGCAGACAAATCTGAGGTGCCGAGGTGGAGCAGCACGGGAAATTCAACAAATATATCTGACCCGTTGGTCACCTGACCCACAAAAGCAGCCGTTAAAACTATTAAGGGTATTTTCTTTCAAAGCGCACCTGTCGCCATTTATTTCAGGACGATTTGAAAAACACAAACTTCTGTAAATTGATGCAAGCGGTACGAAGTCGTACACCGATGATCCCAATAACCATGTACATCGGTAGCAATTTACTCGTATCTACACGCGCGGGGATAAAATGACACCCTCCGTGTTTTTGTTTTTTTTGCAGCTGCGCCCAAAACCGTTCGTGAGTCTGAGACGTGGCGACTCACAATACAATATGTCGCGTAAGCTATCGAAAATTGACCTCCCTTCATCCTTCAGACGCGACTATAAGAATGGTTTTCGGGAGGCATGTCAGGGCACATCATGGGCTGTTAAAGGTGGGTGTGTCTTGAACGGTCGCTCGCGCAGAATTCAAAACATGCACGGCATGAAAAAAGGACTAAAGTATCTTACGCGACGAATAACGTCATCACCCACGTGACGGAGGTCCATTCACGGTTCTTGCCTGAGATTAGTTAAGATTATCGACCTCCGTTTGATATTTTCTGATACAGCTGTTAGGTCCCGAGATAGCAGGGGCTTAAAACTGATCATGTATGCGATTGCGGTCAACCAAATGCCTCCGTCGGCTCCGGGTTAACAACGTTCATCATTATAGAGTGCCTCAGAGAAAGGAGCGCAGCGGCAGTTATCAGCCGCGGCATTGTTAAGAGCCGAGCCGCGTCGACCAAGGTTCGTTTGGGCAGACGAGATGTCGTCAAGGGTCGCGCGCTGACAAAGGCGTCCTCCAGCCGACGCACACTGAAACCCAGCCAGGCAGACCGAGCGGAAACCCAGTCAGGCAGACCGAGTGGCGCGAACGGGAGGCGAAGGCGAAGGCAGGGCAGGGCAGGCAGGCAGGGCAGGGCAGGGCAGGGCAGGGCAGGGCAGGGCAGGGCAGGCAGGGCAGGGCAGGGCAGGCAGGGCAGACAGGACAGGGCAGGACAGGACAGGACAGGGCAGGACAGGCAGGGCATGACAGGCAGGGCAGGGCAAGGCAGGGCAGGGCAGGGTAATAGGCCTCCGAAGCTGGGCACATTCCGCTGAGGTTCCGTCCAGCTGCTGTTACAGTGAATGGACAAATGCCGTCACTCGGGTCGGAAATACACCAGCCAAAGCGCGTTGGATTGTTTCACGCCAGGGCACGGCAGGGCAGGACAGGACCGGGCATGGGCAGGCAAGGGCAGAGCAGGGCAGGGCAGGGCAGGGCAGGCAGGGCAGGACAGGCAGGACAGGACAGGACAGGACAGGGCAGGGCACAGACAGGACAGGACAGGCAGGGCAGGGCAGGGCAGGGCCAGGGCAGGCAGGCAATAAGCCTCCGAAGCTGGGCACATTCCGCTGAGGTTCCGTCCAGCTGCTTTTACAGTGAATGGACAGATGCCGTCACTCGGGTCGGAAAATACAGCCAAAGCGCGTTGGATTGTTTCACGCCGCACGAAACAGCGACGGTCGTCGAAGTTGGTGCCTGCCGCGCCGGATGCCGCATAAGTTTTCTCAGACATACATGGCACAGTTGTGGGCACAACAGACATGTCAACGTGACGAGCAGTTTTTACACGGGTCCGGCTGCAAGCGGACATTTTTGGCTGGTCTGCGCTACCATGAGGGGTGTCGCAGCAAGGCTAGCGCCTGTCCAAAAAAGACGGGCGTCACTGGAAAACCAGACCACACCACATCCGTGGTGGGCTCGGCCACCTTGGACGGCCAAGGCGGCCCACCAGGCAGGCAGACTGACAAACGGGTTAACAAACGGATTAACAAACGGTTTGACAAGCGGACTGACAAACGGACTGATACGCGGACAGACAGACAGATACACAGATCGACACATCAACAGACAGACAGACAGACCGGCGGACCGACCGACAGACAGACAGACAGACAGACAGACAGACAGACAGACAGACAGACAGACAGACAGACAGACAGACAGACAGACAGACAGACAGACAGACAGACAGACAGAGACAGACAGACAGACAGACAGACAGACAGACAGACAGACAGACAGACAGACAGACAGACAGACAGACAGACAGACAGACAGACGGACAGACAAACACAGACAGAAAGACACAGACAGACAGACAGACAGACACAGACAGACAGACAGGCGGACGCCTCACCAGCGGTGTGTCGGCGCCGCCCACGATCGTCATGCCGAGACTGGTGGCCGTGCGCGGGATCTCGATGTGGCTGATCTCGCCCTCGATGATCGGCAGCCGCGTGATGCCTGCAACAGAGCGCCGACGGCGTCAGCCCGACAGCATCGTCCCGAGGAATGGAGCGCGACGGGCGGCAGGTGCGGCCACAGGGCGACAGACGAGAACGGTATGCTCGGGGAGAGGGAGACGGACGAGAACAGTACGCTCGGGGAGAGGGAGCCAGACGAGAACGGTAAGCTCGGGGAGAGGGAGACAGACGAGAACGGTAAGCTCGGGGAGAGGGAGACAGACGAGAACGGTAAGCTCGGCGAGAGGAAGACAGACGAGAACGGTGCGCTCGAACTGGCTGCATCATTCGAGACTCACAATGACTCACAAGAATCACCTCACCACAGGGCGATATCACAGAGATCACTCAAAACTTCTCGGAAAATGATTAACCTGTGAAGACTGAACCTCTGTGTAGATGAGGAAATGCATGAAAAGGACTGAACACGGCGCTTAGCCATTTTCACGCAAGCAGAAAGCAGTGATTAAGGGGAACCACGCTGGTTGTTGGTGCGATCGGCGAAGAACGATGATAATGGAACCCAGGGTGCCCCTGGTCATCAGCAACGAAAGAATAAATCAAAATTAACTCGATCTGTAATTTAAATCACTTCACTCATTTCCCTCGAACTTTAAAAACCAGATTCCCAAAGTTCAAGAACATCAGGATGATGAAGTTCATGAAACATTCTCACCGGGCCTGAGTGCATCAAGAAGTTAGCAGTAAAGGAAACTTTCCGGAAATATTACAGCGTAACAGCAGCCCTGGCACGACAATCACATGCACGCCTCACAAGCAGCCTGGGGGAACCAGGAGTCGTCCCCTCCAAAACGGGCAGCATCGAATTCGACCGTAAAGGAACGGAGGGCGGGGGCACTCGTACGTCATCAACTCCCGATGGCCGCATAACCCAGTGCTCGCACCCACGCTTCACAGACAGGTGCGATCTCTCCAGCCGTGAGACTGGCGCACCGCGCGACACCCCGCCCTCCTGCTCTCTCGGCGACCAGTTCCCGGCACGGCCGTCCAGGTCTGCCGAGCCCACGCGGTCCCGTGAGCCGGGCGCCGGCAGCGGAGCGAGGACGGCCGGGGGACGGCCCGGCCGAGCGGCGGCGCCGGCCGGGTCGGCGACCTGGCGTCACGTGGGCGCGCCCACCCGGCCGGCCGGACCGGTCTGCAGCCACTGCAGTGGCCGGCCGGCGGAAGGTCGTGCGCCGGCCCGCGGTGGCGCCGCAGGCTGCGGACCGGGCCGAGTCCGGCGGCCCGACGGGCCGGCGCCAACGACCAATCAACGCGTGCAGCAGGGGTCCCTCATCCAGCGAAGGAAGCCGCAGCGATCCCCTCGCGCCTGGTCATTTCCGGGCCGCTCGCCGGTCGAAGTGGAGATTCCCAGTTCCCACGCCTACGTCGACGTAACATCGCGATCGTCCCCTCACCAACTCGAGTCGAGCTTCCCACACCCTCGCCTTAGACCATTTAAACCCCGGTCTCAACCCACTGCCGCTCCGCACAGGCCTCGCTAGGGACGGCAAGAGTGGTTTGTAGATCGATTGCTCAATGGATATAACACGGCGCTCAATGGACCCTACACTGTAGCTACGCGACGTGCGCGACACAATGTCGTGAGCTCATGCAGCCACAGCCGCTCGGTGTGACATTAAGCTACCGCGGTGGGTCAGGCGCATAACTCATCACCCCGCCACGCTGCCGCCGGACTCACGACGCCGGAAAGTCCTCCAATCCGCTCCTCAAATAGTCATCAGGCCGGCTCACCGCTGCACTCCGGCGGCCTCGCCGGCTGGGCGGGCCGCTCCCGACCCGGCCATCAGACGGACACGTGTCGTCCGACTCCGGACGCGCCGCCCCGGGAGCCGCCGTTCGCCGCGCGCGCGTCGGCCGCAAGCGGCGTCAGCGACGGCCGTGCGGCTGGCGCCAGGTCGGAGCGCATTTGTCGCCGCGGCGGGACAGACTCGGCCACGTCCGAGCCGCGACACGCCACGACCGCGCCGTCACGCGCGGACGAGCGCTGACCGATGAGAGCGCTGCCGGCGCCGCTCCGACGCACAGGGCCGTCGCTGGCGGCCGCCGACAAGCGACAGGCGCCGCGCGAGGGCCCCTCCGGAGCGGACTTGACGCCACCAGAGGCCGGCCTCGCCCCGGAGCCTGCGGCGGCCGCTCCGGCCGTCCGGCAGGACTACGCCGGCCGCATTACCCGGTGGCCGGCGGCCGGCGGCCGCTAATGCCGCGGCCGCAGCACAACACGACCGCGCCGGGCCCGCGCCGCCGAATTAACGACGGAATAAAGTTTATACTGGCGGAATATGCAAATGAGAGCGCCAGTGCGCGGCGTCGGCGGTCGTGAGACGCCCCGGGCGGAATCCAGCCCGCGTCGTTGTCGTCGTCGTCGTCGGCGGCGGCGGCGGCGGTAGCGGCGGAGAGCGAGAGCGTGCGTCCCGCTGGCGCAGAAGGGTGTGGCGACCGGCGCGACCACGGCAGGCCGGTCACCCGGGGGCGAACGGCACAGACGGCAGCGCGGCCGGCCGACGCGCAACAGGTGTCACTTCATGCTGTCGCAGCACCACGTCACAACGTCCGTCTGGCGTCCACGCCAAACAGGGTGCTGTGAGGACCACATCGACGCTTCCGGCTTGGGGCCGGCCCCGAAACGTGCTATTACACAACACACCTAACCGCGATCCCCGCGCCATGATGATCCCCGCGATCCCATAAGCCAACAAACATGCCGACCGGCACCGGCACACTGAAGCGCGCCGCAGCTGGCCATCGGTCTTCCCGGGGCGGCAGACAGAATGTCCGCCACGGAAACCCCTGTCGCGAAGCGGCGTCGCTACGACTTCATGCCCGAGTGCATGCAAGTGACGCCTGATGTATCCCGCACACGGCCGGCCGGCCGACCGGATAGGCGCGCGTCCGTCCTGTCCTGGCGTTAATCCGCCGGGGCCGGCCGATTTGCCGACAGCCACGTGCAGCCCCTGAACCCGGCAGCGTGTGCATATCCGCTGGTGGGAAGTCTCGCCACAGCTTCCCGGGCCCCGGCGCCCGTCAAGGCTAGGGGGCGATGCACCCCGCCTACGGCGGCTTAACGGACACCCCGGCCAAGGGCGGCCGATGGCTGCGCCGGCCGGCGGACCAGCAGCGCTGACCGCAGCATCCATCACGCGGGTGCAATTGGCACCAGCGGCCTGCAGTGGCAGCGATCGATAACGCCGGCCCCGGTTGGCACCGGCGCACCAAATCGCAAGCCTTCACGTGTGCGACGAAACGCGGACCGTGCGGCCTTCTTAAAAGCTTTGTGAATGACCAGCGAGACTCCTGTCGCCCTGTGCACCAGGCAGTGCCCCAACCAAACCACTAACGCGCGCCTGCTCGCACAGCCTGCGTAGCGCACACTCGTCTCAGGCGTCCGGGTGGGCCGTCCCTCCAGGCGGCCGCGATGCGTCCGGCCATCGTCCGGCCTGCACCCGTCAAATCGGACAGGAAAACTCACGCCACGCTCCGAACAAAGCCAAGTCAAGTCAGCCAGCCCGCACGGTAAGCCGGTAATGCCATTCCAAAATCGCCAACCGCTAATGCCGCATCGATTGCAGCGTGTGCGAAACGCTTGGCGAAAACAACGGAAAAGTTTTGCCGGCTTCCCAGAAGATCCGGACCGGAAAATTACACCTTCAGCCGAAAAAAAATATTCAACCTGGAAGATGGTTCAGCGGGAACGGATCATTAAGTTCAGTTGGAACCAAACAGTTCTACGAATAAGCTTCATAGCCGCTGGTATGCGGATGGTGCAAGCGTGTTTTTGGCTCAACACACCTTAAGCAAATCACATACCAAAACGACGTTCGGGACAAACAATGTTTACGGCATGTCGCTCCTTGGCAGCTTAACACGGTCACATCGCAGACACCGCTGCATCATCAATCAATGTGAAGAAAACAATCGCGACATCGCTACTCGCAATGTAGAATGACGCAGTAAATAAGCTTGTCGATGCATCCTGCCGGTTGGAGGTGTCTCAGCCTGGCTGGACGCAGCCCCGCGCTGCACCAAAACACACCACCAAAACCAGGCCGGTGGACAGGCTGCTCATCGGCGGAGCGCCGGTGTCGTGCGTCACGCTGGCGTCAGAGGCGAGCTAGGCCGGCGGCCCGGCGACGCGGCCCGCCCTCGCGGCCGGGGGCATCAGCTCTGAGCGGGTCAGGTCTGGTCGGGGGCGCCCGCGCCTTCACAGGTGACAGCCGGGGCACGTGTCGGCGGTGAAACACCGCTCACAATGCAGGGTTCTCTTTGTCAGAACGCATTCCACAATGTGTCCATTTCCAGGACAGCCTTGCCAGTGGGTTCATACAACTAATTAAAACCACTGCACGTCATCACTAGCTGAATCAAAAAATGACTGTATTGCAGACGAACGGGCGTAGGTGTAACTGTCTGGTCGTATTTTTTACTGACTGGAAATCAAGGCCGCCACAGCCGGCCTGGCGGGTTGCCTCAGATGGCGCAAGCGCGCGTCACCGGCTGAACTCAGTCAACCGGCCCCACATTATCGCTGACGTCACACTTATACCCGGCCGGTGGGAGGGGTGCCACCAATGGCGACGGATCAGGCCTACGTGTCACGCCCTGACCCGACACCAGGCACCGGGGGAGGGGGCGTGAGCATCGCCGCGGGCGGTGACGGGGATCGGAGGAGACGCGGCCGTGGCGAGCGCCGTACCCCGCGCTCCCGGGATCCCGCCGGTCCATCCAACAGTCCGTGCGTGTTACCGTCGGACCGGCGCCCGACCACTTAGCCAGGCTACGTTTTTGTACGACTCACTTCGGATGGGGTTGCATGCGTCATGAATAGGCACAATTAAGTGCCTTTTATGGGATACACATGGTCGGCCACTTAGCATGAGTGCTTATTTTGCACCTAAAACATAACTGGCGTGCACCGGTGCCATCCGCATCGTTTTTGCTTCTATTTAAAACACCAACACACTGTACTGAGTCAGTGCGAAG